GTCACCCTGTCATAGAACTCCAGTAGGTCTGTGCCACAGGATTTCTTGTCCCTAAAACCGTGTTGGCTGTTGTTGATGAGCTCATTCCTTTCTAGGTGTTCCACCACTCTTCTCCTGACAATCTTCTCCATGACTTTGCATACTATACATGTAAGTGACACTGGTCTGTAGTTTAGTGCTTCATGTCTCCTTTTTTAAAAATTGGGACTACATTTGCTATCTTCCATACCTCATGAAATCTCCCTGTTTCACAGATATGTTGAATATTGTTGTTAGGGGTACACAGCTCCTCTGCCCCCTCTAGCAGGACCCATGGAGAGATGTTATTTTGCCCCATCGCCTTTGAGGTATCTAGCTCACTCAACAGCCTCGTCACTTCTTTCTCGGTTGTGTGTATTGTGTCCAACAGTTGGTGGTGTACCCCACCTCTCTGTCTTTCTGGAGTCCCTTCTGTCTCCTCTGTGAACACTTCTTTGAATCTCATGTTGAGTTCCTCACATATTTTGCAGTCGTTTCTTGTTGTCTCTTCTCCTTCCTTCCTTAGCCTGATTATCTAGTCCTTGACTGTTGTTTTCCTCCTCATGTGGTTATATAACAGCTTCGGATCAGATTTGGCTTTCGCTACTATGTCGTTTTCATATTGTCATTGGGCCTCCCTTCTTACTTGTGCATATTCATTTTTTGGCGCTACGACTGCTCTCCTTACTCTCCTGGGTCCTTTGCCTTTTATGCACATTTGGTTTTTGCCTCCCTGCGCCTTTGGGTAAACCATGGCTTTTTCATTATTCCTGTTACCCTTGGGTACAAACCTCTCCTCAGTTTTCTTGCATATTGTTGTTACATATTCCATCATCTCGTTTACTGACTTCCCTGCCAGTTCTCTGCCCCACTGAACCCCGTTCAGGAAGTTCCTCATTCCTGCATAGTCCCCTTTATTGTAGTTTAGCTTCATTCGTCCAGCCCTTCCTGCTTCCCCCTCCACTTGTAACTCTGCTGTGTATTCGAAGCTTAAAACCACATGATTGCTGGCCCCAAGGGGTCTTTCATATGTGATGTCCTCAATATCTGCACTACTTAAGGTGAATATTAGGTCCAGTCTCGCAGGTTCATCCTCTCCTCTCTCCTTGGTTGCGTCCTCACCCTCAGCTGCTGTCATTCAGTTTGTGAAAGTTAAGACACATGTGCAACGTCTGGATATCTTTATTGTAGACGTTTCGCCATCCAGTGGCTTTATCAATACAGATTCTAGGACATAATAGGAAGACAGTAGAACTATATACAAAATATGAGGTAATCAGTCCCTCAGCCTTGGAGTTAGTGTTCACAGCATCGTGGTGGAGGAGAATCTGGAGCAAAGGCAAGAAGACTGGCGGTTATATAGGCGTCAGTGGATAGGGACGGGCAGCAGACGAGGGCAAAGTCACTGGTAGGCGGGATTCCCCAGTGGAAGTAGGTCCTTCCCGAAGAGATGGGTTAGTTGCAGCAGCCGTGAAGAAGGTCTTGTAGATGTCCTCTGAACCAAGATTCCATGAAGTTGCAGTGTCTGACAAGTGACTATGCCCTCGTCTGCTGCCCGTCCCTATCCACTGACGCCTATATAACCGCCAGTCTTCTTGCCTTTGCTCCAGATTCTCCTCCACCACGATGCTGTGAACACTAGCTCCAAGGCTGAGGGACTGATTACTTCATCTTTTGTATATAGTTCTACTGTCTTCCTATTATGTCCTAGAATCTGTATTGATAAAGCCGCTGGATGGCGAAACGTCTACAATAAAGATATCCAGATGTTGCACATGTGTCTTAACTTTCATATTGTCGGTATTTTATACCTTTCTTGCACATTCAGTTTGTGTTCAGTCTCAGACTAGGAACATCCTCTTCTATTCTGCCGAGGATTTCAACCGTGGTTTCTCTTGGAGGATCCTGTTCCACACTGTTTCTGTCCGGAAAATCAGTTTGATCAGTCGTTTTCTTCCCTTCAAGTACCCCCCTATTCTCTGAAAATTTACAATCTCGAACATGTCCTCTTCACCTATTTCCGTGATGATATTCTCAATCTCCTCTCTTTCTACCTCCCATCTTTCACTGTGTGTCCTTCCCTCGCTCTCCTGAAGCCCATGAATAAACAATGACTTTGCCCTTTCCTCCTCCCATTACCTTTACCTCTGTGACTCTGGTTCCTGTCTGTACATGGCCATTTTCTCCCCTGTTTTTTTCCAGCAGCTTTTGGTAGTATGGTCGTGCTTCTGCATTTGACCTATCACCCTCTCCACCTGCAACTAGCTGCTCTTCCCCTTCACTCCTTGGCCCTACTTGGTAGGCAGATGTGGCCTTAGCATAAGTTATATCTCCTTCCTTCCCATTGGGGAAGGACGATTCCTTCCCCAATGGGAAGGAACGATTCCTTACTAAGGTATCGGAAAGCTATTCTCAGGTTTGCCAGGCGCCCATATGCTGCAGCAGTTATCTGGTTGATGTGTGCTTTCGGAGACGTGCTCGGTGTTATACTCACCCCGAGATCTTTCTCCATGAGCGAGGTTTGCAGTCTTTGGCCACCTAGCCTATACTCCGTCTGCAGTCTTCTTTGCCCTTCTCCGATCTTCATGACTTTGCATTTGGCAGGGTTAAATTCGAGAAGCCAGTTGCTGGACCAGGTGTCCAGCCTGTCCAGGTCTCTTTGAAGTCCTACCTGATCCTCATCTGATTTAATTCTCCTCATTAACTTCACATCATCTGCGAACAGGGACACTTTTGAGTCTAACCCTTCCATCATGTCATTCACATATACCAGAAATAGCACTGGTCCTAGGACCGACCCTTGTGGGACCCAGCTCTTCACAGATGCCCACTGTGATACCTCATCACGTACCATGACTCGTTATTTCCTCCCTGTCAGGTATTCTCTGATCCATTGCAGTGCCCTTCATGTTATACGCACCTTATCCTCTAGCTTCTGCACTAATCTACTGTGAGGAACTGTGTCGAAGGCCTTCTTGCAGTCCAAGAAGATGTTGTCTGGTCCCATTGTCTGGGAGATGTTGTCTGATCCCATTGCCTTTGAGGTATCAAGGTCCCTTAGCAGCTTCTTCATCTCCTCCTCAGTTGTGTGCATGTCATCCAACACTTGTTGGTATATTCCTTGTTGGCGTCCCCCTCTGTTCTGTCCACCCAGAGGCCTTCCTGTCTCCACTGTAAATGCTTCCTTAAATTTCATGTTGAGCTCCTAACATACCTCTTGATTGCTTTTGGTGAGTTCCCCACGTTCTTTCCTCAGCCTGATCACCTGATCTTTGCCTGTTGTCTTCCTCCTAATGTGGCTATACAGCAGCTTCGGGTCAGACTTGGCTGTCAATGCTATGTCGTTTTCGTACCGTCGCTGGGCCTCCCTCCTTATCTGTGCATACTCGTTTCTGGCTCTTCAACTAGTCTCTTTATTTTCCTGGGTCCTTTTCCTCCTGTAGCTTTTCCATTCCCTGGTGCACTTAGTTTTTGCCTCCCTACACCTTCGGGTAAACCAAGGACTCGCTTTGGTCTTCCCATTATTTCTATTGCCCTTGGGAACAAACCTTTCTCCCCTCCCTGCATTTTGTTGTTACGTATTCCATCATTTCATTTACTGACTTTTCTGCCAATTCTCTGTCCCACTGAACCCATAACCAGTACTGTGCTCTGCTCGAGTGAGCTCCTCTTGCCACCTCGGCCAGTGTGCCCTCCATTGCTCTGTTTCTCTCTTCATATTCCTCTCTTGACCTCCTATAGTTTTGTGGTGGATTATTCATCACTGCAATGACTACCTTATGTTGCCCAGACTGAAATGTACCTACTATGTAATCCCTTCCTCCAATCTCGTCCATGCCTTCCATTTCCTCAAATCTCCATCGTTTCTTTATGAGCAGTGCAACCCCTCCTCCCCCTGTGTCCCTTCTATCTTTCCTCAGTATCTGATATCCTGGTGGGAAGATTGCATCTGTTATTGTCCCCGTGAGTTTCGTTTCTGTGACCGTGTGTGTGTGTGTGTGTGTGTGTGTGTGTGTGTGTGTGTGTGTGTGTGTGTGTGTAAGTGTGTGTGTGTGTAAGTGTGTGTGTGTGTAAGTGTGTATGTGTGGGTGGTAGGGTGTGTTTTGTGTTAATTAAAGTGTAGTGGAGGGAGAGAAAAGATCTATATTACTGTATAATGACTCTGACAAATAAAGGAGTATTACTGGTAAAATTGTGGAAAGCTTTTCAAATAGCAACTAACAAGAATTAATGAGAATTGCCTACATATTTGTGGAAAGGTGAATAGAACTAAGTAGGGTAAGTTTGATTGGAACTAGAAAGCATCATCGCCTGAGTTTGAATTCACATCAAGGTGCTAACTGATTTAGGTCATTATAAGATCATCTGAGCAGTCACCTGAGGTTGAGAGTTAGGAAAGAGAGTTCTCCTTTTCTAGAGTCTGTTTATGGGAATAGCTAATCATTCTGCTTGTGTTCACATCTCATAAGCTAGCCACACCCCAGGCCACTGCAGGATCTCTTCATCAGTAATAATGTAATAATTCAAACAAAATGCCGAGAATTGTAATCAAGTGCCTTAAAAGTGTGAAGAGATTTGTGTTCCACAGCCTAATGGCAAAGTGAAGCAGCATTCTTTAATCAGCGTTTGTAGATAGAAAGAACCTTTCCTAGTTCGGGTACTACTTGTCACCTTCCCAGGGAAGGAAAAGCAGGAACGCAGAAAAGTTAGGAGCAAAATTAAGTGAAACTGATGATGGTGAAGTGTGTCGACGAGGGGTAGATGTTTTAATTATGTGTGCATGTACTCTTAAATCCAGCCGTCTGTGCGAGTAGACATTAAACGTTTGATCATACGTCGTCTTCAGTGGGTCGACACAGTTCATTGCTACACTACTAGCACAGTCTACTAATTTGAAACCATTACACATTAAAAATGTGTGTGTGTGTGCTTTTGCTTTTTTTGTACCTCGACAATACCAGAACCTAACATTCACCTGGCAGATCCTGACCCTGGCCAGCAACGAGCGCATTTCACTTACACCCCACATGCGTCTGCTCTTCGAGATCAGCCACTTACGCACAGCCACTCCGGCCACAGTGTCACGAGCGGGAATTATATATCTCAACCAAGGAGACCTTGGTTGGAACCCGTAAGTTTTTTTTTCTGAAATAGTGTTAAGAATCTAGTTTCTCAAAAAAATATTGAAAATTTTGTTCCCTCAAAGGGATTCTTACATTATTTTTCTTGTAACTCAAATATATTGATTTTTTCCTTATGCTTCCCTTGGGTCACGATTATTTACCATGACAGGGCCTTACCTATATAACTAATTACTCTGTAGGTAAAAGAAAAGTATAAACTGATCAAGACATTTATTAGGTAACGTGTCTCCACGAGTTTCTTCAGTCCTGATACAGAGAACCTAAAACTAGCAGTATAATATAGGATAACATAAGATTTGTTGGGATTTTTAACCTGGAGAGTTACCAAGAAAGTCAGTGTGTCATCGAGGTTAGCTACCCAGGATAACCCAAGAATGTCAGTGCGTCATCGGGGACTGTTGACCAGTCGACTAACACCCACGTACCTATTTACTGCTAGGTGAAGAGGACTGATCCACGCTCACTCGGTGCAAGAGTTTAGATGAGCGCAGGTTAAACGTGTATTAACAATAATGTTGTCTCTCTCATTCCCATCATGACAACAGGACTAAGAAAGACCTCAAGATAGGATATTTTCTCGGTCCTTTGATAACTGCTAACCAGTTATACTAAGAATACGAATATTAATACCTTAAAAAAAGGCTCTCACTTCCCACCACACTAAATTAAAAACTACATAAAGAGAGCCACGCACACCCTCAACAGAAAGATCATAGACAACACAACAGAATCGCCAACTAAAAACATCGTTTTACCAGTGAATAATGTGACTTGTATGTATCATTGTGAACGACGACCGGACATTGAAAATATCCACCAACGCCTCGACCTCCATCAAAGATTTTGTGAGAAAGAAAGAGAAACACAGACAATGCCATGTAAAAAAGGTTGGTGTTTACATCAGCCTACGGAAGTATCAACAAACAATACGTAGGTGAAACATCAAGACCACTTGAACTCTGATATCGAGGATGCTGAAACGCCTGCAGATCTGAAGACCGCATAAAACGTCTGCATAAAACGTAGAACAGTGAAGTTCATTGTAGCAGGACGGGTGAAACAACAATAATAGCAGTAACTAACATCAGTCCACAGAAATCAGACAGCTATAGAATAACCAGAATTCTGGCCTGACAATTGGTACACAACATTAACACCACTAATTGATGACACCACCGTGCCAGTTTTACATTGAGATTATCCAAGCTGTTTACTTTTGTGAGTTATTCTACTTTAAACCTATGCTCTTGCATAGTATATACCTCGTGTACAATATATACTGCTCATATATACTGAATCTTATTGTGGCTAGCTGGTCTAGTGGCTAACGCGACGGGCTGGAGTTTTGAGACTCTATGACCGCGGGTTCAATCCCGGCCGGGGGTATGGTTTATTTGCAATCGTGTCATTACGATTTCTTGAGTCATATACTGCTCGTTTGATCTTTTCTGTTAGGACTGAAGAAGTCATTCGTGGAGAAACATTTTCTTAATAAATGTCTTAATCAGTGAATTCGTGTCTTTTACCTACAACTTCTTGGTATCGCCATACCAGTTCCTCCAATTAATTACTGTTTAGTCCATATCATTCATTGACATTCTGTTCACCAGCTACGTGACCAGCTGGATTGATCGCCGTGAAGTGCAAAGTGAGAAGGCAAACCTGATGGTGCTCTTCGACAAGTACATCCCTACCTGCCAGGAAATACTGCGAGTGCGCTTCAAGAAGATCACTCCCATGCCTGAGATCAGTCACCTCATGATGCTGTGCAACATGTTGGACTGCCTCCTTACGCCAGAGAACGCCCCGCCAGACAGCCCCAAGGAGGTCTACGAGCAGTACTTCGTGTTTGCCGCTGTTTGGGCTTTCGGCTCCGCCCTTTACCAAGACGGGGTGAGCAGTGCGTCTTGTGTTCTACTAAGAATTTGCTTCCTATCTGCTACAATACTCACACTCCCTACTAACCTCACTTCCTGCTCCTTCATTTTCCATTTCTATTATCTACTTTCACTGTTACTCCCACTCATAAAGAAATAAAATAAAATATAGACAAGTTGATATTAATATCAACTTGATATTAATATTATCAACAGATAATATTAATAACAACTTTATTCTTCTTCCCAAACAATATCATAGAGAATGAGTGATAATGGAATTTTCTATTTTCCAAATACATCTTAGTCTGGAAAACCCTCGAATTTACTCTTGCACTTGGTCACATGCTCAGGATATTCGTACCTCTCCTAAAGTCCTCATTTGCCTATATATTCTCAGGTTCTCCATTTTTCATATGTACTCTCCATAGACTTGAAAAACAGTGCTTTCCAAAAAAGTGTTCATTCTGTGTTTTTTTCTCCGTTTTCCTTCTTTCATCTTTGCCAACTCCACCTTACCTTTCCTCGCTCTATACATATTCCTATTCTTGCCCTCTACTTTTTCTCTTAACTCATACCCCCCTTGTACATTCATTCAGTTCCATATTTCCTATCCTCATATCTCTATAAGTCTATCCCAAAGTTTCCCATTCTATGTTACACCTCCGTCTTCCTATTTTCACTCTGCTAGTCTCACCGCCCTTGTACTTGTCTTCTCACCGATTCCCCATAAATTCATTCCTTACTGCATTATCTTTCCTCACAGCTCATTTCTCACTCTTACCATCCTGGTTCCTTTCCTTTCTTTCTATTTTTTCACTGACTGCCTATTCCCTATTCTCGCACTCGTTCTCATCATTGCTAACACTCAGAACATCGACTACCGAGTTGAGTTTAGCAAGTGGTTCCAGCAAGAGTTTCGAACGGTCAAGTTCCCTGGAGTAGGGACCGTCTTTGACTACTTCATTGAACGAGACACTTTGAGATTCGCTCCTTGGGCTGAGAAGATCCCCAAGTTTGAGCTGGATCCAGACACTCCGCTACAAGTAAGTCTCGATGGCTTCTACTGCAACTTTCCTCTGTTTTTACTCGAGTTCTTAAGTAATGGATTGATTTTTCGAGTTAAAGTTAAAGAAACTAGTCTCCTAAAGTTGTACTAATTTTTGCTTATATTTATAAGTTTGGATTTTGTGAGAAAATCCTCTAATCTCCTTTTAAAATTTAAATTCAGTTTTATATTAGTTACTTTAATATAAAACTTTAAGAAATATTAAATAATCGTAAAGGAGAATTTTATTAAAATAATATTTATGTTTCACTGAAATCAGCAAAATGTGAAAATGTCAGTTTTTACGAGTTTTTTTTTTTTTTTTTTTTTTATGGCTAAGATACGGTTAATCATATAGTTCTACATTGATTTTTGATAATTATTTACATGGGGTGGGGTGTAAATATTATGCAGAAAATTCGAGTGTGGAAATTAGGAGAAGGTGTGGAGTTAATAAAAGTATTAGTCAGAGGGCTGAAAATGGGTTTCTGAGGTGGTTTGGTCATTTAGAGAGGATGGAGCAAAATAGGATGACTTGGAGGGTGAATAAATCTACAGTGGGAGGGGGGGAGTAGGGGTTGGAGTTGTCCTAGGAAAGGATGAAGGGAGGGGGGGGTAAAGAAGGTTATCGTGCAAGAGGCCTGGACATGCAGCAGGCATGTGTGAGGGTGTTAGAAAGGAGTGAATGGAGACGAATAGTTTATGGGACCTGAAGAGATGTTGGAGTTTGAGCAGGAAAATATTTTATGAAGGGATTCAGGGGAACCGGTTAGCTGGACTTGAGTCCTGGAGGTGGGAAGCACAATGCCTGCACTTTAAAGGAGGGGCTTGGGATATTGGCTGTTTAGAGGGACTTCTAAACTTTCGTATCTGAGGGCCTATGCAAAGACAGTGATTATGTGTGAATGATGGTGAAAGTGTTTCCTTTTTTTGGGTCACCCTGCCTCGGTGGGTGACGGCCGACGTGCTAAAAAAAAAAATCTATGAACTGCGTTAATTACAGTCTTTTAAAGTACCTTGCAACGTAAACAAAAATATTGTTTGAATGACAAAAACTACGGATAGAACGTCCGTGTTCCATCTGAAAAAAATATGGTCAAGAATTTTCTCATACATTCTTTATTTGCTGATAACTTACATTTTCATTTAATATTCAGTAAATGCATATATGTATTCCAGATATATTTTGTTCTTTGATTCTTATTTCAGTGTAATAGTCTTCATAAACATATTTTTCAGATATTGTTAACCAGTGTATCAGTTACACAACAAATTAGTTTTGAAAGAGAACAAAGTAAGTTTAATTTTATATTTAAAATACGTAATAAGTCAGTGTATTAATATTAAAAGTACTGACGTTCAAGTGAATTAATAATAAGCATTGTAAAGTAATATATATATATATATATATATATATATATATAATATATATAATATTATATTATATATAAATATAATTATATATATATATATATGATATGTATTAAACATTAAAAATAGTATTCAGTTCACTTGCTTCATACATTACATAGTTAAAAAAATTCTATGGATGAAGGGACAACGTATTCAGTGGAGAGACTGTGAAAGGATTGCGACGTGTGGCATGCATCCTCAGCGAGCACCTAGGCAAGGAAAATACCACCTTCAGTTGACATACTTGAACACGGCCAGCAAATGACGTCTCAAGGGGGAAAAATGGCATACAAATGCTTCAGAAAATATTAATAAGTGAACAGTGTTTGTTTCATGAATGTGCAGAATTGGAATCTGATAACTAATGTGTGCTAGTCTTGCAAATATATCTACTTATCCTGGAAGGGTAAAATAAAACTGGCAACTGTTTCTGAAGTAATGTTTGCAGGCGCGACAGTCTGCTGCCTTACCTATGTAAGCGATTTTTGACAAACGCATCAGAAAAGTTAATCTACACATTTCAGTCTTGGTTTGAGGTCCTCATCAGCAGCATTTTATTATTATTATTGTTGTTGTTGTTATTATTACTATTATTATTATTATTATTAGTAGTAGTAGTAGTAGTATTAGTAGTAGTAGTAGTAGTAGTAGTAGTAGCAGTAGTAGTACTAGTAGCAGTTGTAGTAGTAGTAGTAGTAGTCGTAGTAGTAGTAGTCGTAGTAGTACTAGTAGCAGTCGTAGTAGTAGTAGTAGTAGTACTAGTAGCAGTTGTAGTAGTAGTAGTAGAGAGATGCTAAATCAGTATGGGACCTACTGCTCCTGGGGAGTAGGAAGAAATTTGGCATGATCTAAGAAGGGAGATAACAGGATCAGTTCAGTGGATCAAGAGCCCCTCACCGTCATGAAGGAGCCGCCCTTCAGGTATCATCAGCAGGCTGTAAAACAGTGAATGAATGGGAGGTTAACAGGCTTGTTTAACGTTGCTGCGTTTCTCATTAAATAAGTCGATTCTGTGTAATTCTTTAATGTGAATCTACTGAGTACAGTTCCGCATATCGTTTTGAAATGTGATAATTAAATATTAGTGTTTTAACTTCTTAAATTTACCTTTTACTTCGCGTGTTATCTCGTTCCATCCTTATTAAATGGTCAGGCTGATGATCACAATCATTTCTTTTGAATATCTAGATTAAAGCTTATTATGTTCATTGTTCCTTGTCATGAGGTTACAACCTCTCTCGTCAGCGTTGACTGACTAACACTTGTTACATAAACAATGGTGAGATTGGTCAGATTTTCCTGTGATTTCCAAATAAACATTTCTCTATTTTCTCGGCTAAATCACCACTTTTTTTTTACGAGGATTGCGAGTTTGTAAACCCTCCTTTCTGAATTAAAAACAAGTACGTGAACAGTTCACCAAACTCCAACTCTCAGATTAGTTGATCCAAAAAAAAAATTTTTTTTATTAAGACAGGCCGTTTCCTACAAGGCAGGGTGACCCTAGAAAGAAGAACCACTTTCATCATCATTCATTCTGTTACTGTCTTGTCAGAGGCACGCCTACACTAGAGTTAAAAAAAATATAACATATCAACATTCCTCCTCCAGATATCAAGCACTGTACTTACCATTTCCAGGACTCAAGTCCAGGTAACCGGTTTCCTTGAATCTCTTCATAAAAGTTACATTGCTCACAGTCCAACATCACATCAACTCGCTCATATTTAATACGCTCACGCACACCTGCTGCATGTCCAAGCACACATTTACCCCCCCTCCAACCTTTTTCAAGACTATCTCCTATTCCGTCTTCCTTCCACTACTGATTTATATGCCGTCCTAGTCATTCTGTTTTGTTCCAACCTCTCTAAATGTCCATATCACCTGAACAACCCTTCCTCTGCCCTCTGGATAATACTTATAGAAACCTCACACCTCCTAATCTCCAAGCTATAGCTTGTCTGTATTATACTCATTCTGTACATTTCTCTCAGACACGACATCTCTACTGCTTCCAGTCTTTTCCTTGATGTAACATTCACCACCCATGATTTGATTGATAGTGCACTTAGCTCACACACTAAGGTCTGGGGGTTCGATCCCTGATATGGCTGCTGTCTTTGTTTACCTATCAGTAGAATGGGGTACCTGGGTGTTAGTCGACTGGTGTGGGTAGCATCCTGGGACAAAATTAACTTTATTTGCCCGAAATGCTATGCATAATAAGGGGCTTTCTATATAGTAGTATGTCACTGATGTCAGCTAGGTCTGTACACATTGTACATGTACTTGTAGAAATAAAGATATTATTATTATTATTATTATTATTATTATTATTATTATTATTATTATTATTATTATTATTATTATTATTATTATTATTATTACTATACTCTCATACATTTTCCTCTTTGCTTCCATGGATGACGTTCTTTGTCTCTACAGACTCGTCATTTCTCTACTCACCTATTTCCCCTCATCATTCTGTGATTCATCTCGTCTTTCATTGACCCATCTGCTGACAAGCCCACTCCCGGATATCTGAATACATTCACGTCCTCCATACTCCTTACCTCTATTCTGATATCTAATCTAATTACTTATTTTTTGTTATCCTTATCACCTTACTGTTTCCTACGTTCACTCTTATTTTCCTTCTTTTAGATATCATTCCAAAACGTTCATCGACCTCCTAAACTTCTCTTCAGAATCTGCCAAAAGCACAGTGTCATCAGATAAAAGCAACTGTGACAACTCCTACTTTGTGTTAGATTCATTATCTTTCAATTCCACACCTGTCGCCAACACCCGAGCATTCACTTCTCTTACAATCCCATCTATAAATATATTGAACAACCACGGAGACCTCACGCATCCCTGTCTAAGACCTACTTTTACTGGGAAATAATCTGCCTCTCTCTTACATACACTAACCTGAGCTTCACTATTCTCGTAAAACTCTTCAGTAACTTACCACCTATTCCAGCAAAAAAAATTAATTTTTCTCTTGAATTAGGGGTTTAAGGAAAAACATGAAGCATCCATAGTTCAGGATATGCTCTTGTTCCAAGTTCATGAGATCTGCATGTTAGTTTCCTTGTCCCATACACACATTCCGAATGTCTCCCAGTCACAACACCGCACACACACACACACACACACACACACACACACCACACACACACACACACACACACACACACCACACACACACACACACAACATACACACACACACACAACACACACACACACACACACCACACACACACACACACACACACACACCACACACACACACACACACACACACACACACACACACACACACACACACACACACACACAAGCACACAGAAGGAGAGGTTAAGGGAAATCGACCTGACGACACTGGAGGACAGGAGAGACACGGGGGACATAACGACATACCAAATACTGAGAGGAATTGACAAGGTGGACAAAAACAGGATGTTCCAGAGATGGGACACAGAAACAAGGGGACACAGTTGGAAGTTGAAGACACAGATGAATCACAGGGATGTTAGGAAGTATTTCTTCAGCCAGAGAGTAGTCATGAAGTGGA